AAGCTGAAAATGTCCGACGTATTATACCTCTTTTGTACTAGTGAATGTGCATGTGGTGCTAGTAAAATCACATTATGTTGCCCTTGTTCGAAGTAGGCACATAAGAGTAACTTAGGAGAATATGTCAAATTACACTTTCATCGCACTCTGCACTAGGAAGTGATACACCAGGGTCTCGATGAGATAATTTTTTGCACAAGTTCCATCCCATGCACACAAGCAAACAAACCTGAGGTTCCAAATTCAACTATTTCCAAGGTCACGAATCCCTTAGCTTTTACATAAGGGGACCTTCCTTGGTAGCGTATTCTATATCGTACTGATCAAAACATTTAAGCATATGATGTATATCACACAAGATTCAATCCAATATTATGTTATCATAGTGCACATTTACAATTTGTCAAGTTACCATCGCATGACCCTCACAGGATCTACACATATTGATTTGCCAATTTTCCAATATTATTTCACATTGTTTACAACATGTATAACTCACAATATCGTAATTACATACTTAACATACCATATTCAATTATCAACATTAACTAGTACGAGAGTTACATGTTTGCAGTTCAAACATAATAATTACACAACATTCATCTGATATACCTCAAGATAGAATCATTGTGAAATCATCTAATCATGTGTTAATACCTAAACCATAGTCATTATAAGAGATTAACATAAAACTAAGTATTTAAATTAATCACTTAACTAGTATCACAATGTTATTGATATCACACATTAATTCCTTAAGCATTGTTATTATCAAAACATCTAGAGGTGTTAACAAATAACTCACATCATAACTTATTCACAATTGTTCTATCCCATAATTTCTCTTTCCTAAACATTGATATGGGTACCCTAAACCATTCCTTAGATTAAAAACTTAAAAGAATAAAATCATTCACCATCACCCACCCAAGCATCTCATGTCACCATCACGTATACCTCAATTAGCAAGTCTTGACATTTAAGATCAATCTTAAACTACTCACCCAACTCATCACTCAATCCTTCTTATATCAATACTAATATTATGAATCATGATCCTACACCATATCACTAAAACACTTCATTTAGAATCATCATAAGAAAAAATTCGTCACTATGTACCATAATTGTCAAACATCAATTCACTTATTGTTGCTAATATTAGATTGTATCCTTAAGCTAACAATCCTCAAGTTATCTCAAACTCATAAGTACAACCCATCTTAGGCAGTGAAGGTGATAAAATGGAGAAAAAAATAAGGTAAAAAGGAGAAAAAAGGTAATAGGATGCATCACAATTGTGACTCATTAATCACAATCATGACTTTAGTCATGCTCGTGACTCACTAGTCACAACCATGACTCACTCGATCATACCCGTGACTGGCTTGGTGTTTCTAGGGTTAGAATGTATTACACCCATGACTCTCTAGTCGCACCTATGATGTAATGCAACAAATACGAACTTTGATTATTTGGACCTTGTTGTGTTTCATCTTATCACCATATTTCACTATAGGTATCCATCCAATTGATAGAATCATAGATTAAAAGACTAAAATCACTTAATTAAGCCATCAATTGCATATCCCACAAACTAGTCTCAATCCTCTCATATTAACTCAATATGTTCATTCTCTAGGGTTTCCACAAGATCCCCATGAGAAATCTGAGATCCACAAGATTAATAATTACATACAATATAAACAGACATATTAATCAATAATATTAATTAAAATATCTAAGAATCATATAGAACAGAGAATTATAAGTCATGATAAAAAATTCAGATTGCACCCTCATACAACGCATATAATATAGAAAGAGATTGAGAGTCAATCTTACTACCCACACTAGTACAAAAGAGGTGTACTACGTCGGGTATTTTGAGCTTTTAACGTCAAAAAACATACCGACATAAAAACGGGAGACGTAAATTTTACGTCGGACCTGCAAAACCGACGTAAATTTACGTCGAACATTACGAAATTCGACGTAAAAATAGTATAAAAAAAACAAAAAAAAAACATAAGAATGCAAGCAGAACGGCCCGTTCTGCTTGTAAAACAAGTCATTATGCTTCGTAGAACTACCCAAAAGAAAACACCCACTACCTATACAAATAAAACAACCAAAAAATCGAATAAAACAGATAGCCAAAGTAGAAATGCGAAATAGAAAAGTGCTAACGAAACCCTGATTCATACCTGAGGAGCAGCAACAACGTGCGAATGAGTAACAAAGAGTTCATCCCTCTGCAAAAGACAAAAAACGATTCAGTAACAAAGGAGAGGGAGAGGGTTTACAGAGGAAAAAACGAAAAGTAATGAAAAGTGAATGCGCGCGGTGTGTCTCGCGCTCTCTTATTCAAATTTGCGTCCTTTTTTATGTCGGACCTGGTAGGGTCCGACGTAAAATGTCAAATCTACATCGGACACAACGTACCTCCGACGTAGATTTGACTTTTTACGTCAGACCCTACTAAGTCCGATGTAAAAAAGTTCGCAAAAATTACAAAAATGCCACCGCATTTTTTTTACGTCAGATTTTCGTATTTCCGACGTAAAAGGGGTGACGTAATATGCTGATTTTCCACTAGTGCAACATATATCTCATACCTAGAGCAAGATTACTCACACCTCTCTTATCTTGATGAATACTAAATGTAAGGCACAAATCTTTGTGATGATCTTCAATAATCTCTAATTCTTTCAGTTCTTCAAAGCACATAAATGTAAGAGAAATAATAAGAATGTAAAATGTAAAAATTGATGTCCTTTAAAAACTTCCTAATCCTTATTTAATCCATTAGTTAGTCTAATGACAATATTTACATTTTCATTTCCTTAAAATATTTAAAACTTATAATATATAAAATAAACAAATTTATCCCAACACAATTATAATTAAAATAAAATACACAAAAAAAAATTATAATAAAAACACATTTTTCTCCAAATACTTATTATAAAAAAAAATATTATTAAAAATATATATTTCTTCAATAAATATTATACAAAATAATTTCATAAATATTTATTATTTAATTAAAAACACTCATAATTATTAAAAAAATTTAAAATATTTTTTAAAACTCATTTAATAAATTAAAACATTTTTCTAATAATTTTAAAAAAAAACTTTGAATGTTACACATGTTACTAGTGCAAAGTCACAAAATCACATCAAACTCAAAACTCAACTTAGAGGCACAAAACTTCCATCTCTTCTTTCTGTTTTCACCCAAAACCCCAATCTCCATGTATAACTCAAAATAATCAAACAAATAAAATCTTTGTTAAGAGTTACATTTTGAGTGACTTGCAACCAATTTACCTAAAACACCTTTTCTGTGCAAAAATAAAAACAAATCCATTCAAATTTCTAGTTCTAATTCAACCTTGTGAGCAGCTTAAAAAATTATTTGGCCTTTTGACTTGCACATCATACACCCGTACTTATAAGAGCACACATATGTGATAAAGATTAATTTCCACTATTTCAGCTGTTTTTAAAAAGAAAAAAAATATTTACAAAAAAAGTTGTTTTCATACATCTAAAAATTTGAACAATTTTTTTTTTCTCTTAACACTGATAGATTTATAGTAAAAGTTGATTTTTGTTATTCAAATAAAAGTAAATATCTGAAAATGATTTTTAACAAACTTACCTAAACAAAAACTATTTTAATTATAATCAATTATACATATGATAAGTTATTGAAATAATATAACTTTGACAATTTTTTAAACACATTCTAAGTTGGCACATGCCGCCATTATGAAATAACACAGTGGTATGCAATTAATTTGAAGGTATTGACATTGAAGAGACAAGAGAGGCGCTAGCTGAGAGCAGCGATGCATCAATAAATAGTAGAATAATGAACACTAGCATGAAAGAACAATAAAAACTACAGTAACATTAATTGACGAAGAGATAGGAGGTGATGGTGTTAACGGCGTTATAATTTTTGTAGCCGTGAGTGAATGTTTTAGGTTGATCATGAATTATGGGTGCTGCTCCACATCGCCGACAATGCATTATTGGAAGTGCTTATAGTACTAATACAGAGAAGTAGGTCCGGAACACTCCACATCAACTTTCTAGTTAAGCAAAGATCCGGATTCTTGTTGATGAATCATATTCTGGCGCCATTATAACTCTTTGAAACCCCAATTGTGTCTTGTACCTACTTTTTCTTTTCTTTAGGAAATTAACAAATCGTGCACATCCCTTTCTACTCTCTACATTCATAATAAGCAAGAGAAACACCGTCCATCCAACCATCCCCTAGCCTCCTTCATTAACAACTATGCAAGAATGGTAACCATATGCTATACCCATATCTCTTATCTCTAACTAGTTAAGCCACGCACCGAGTGGGAGACAGTTCATGCACCTCTCTAATAATAATTTTAGCAAACACACACATGCATGCATCATTCTTTTTAATGGGGTACGGTGATCTTTGGATGAGTGTGCCAAAGCATATGAACGGTTTCTAGTACAATATGTGCGAATATATATGTATAATTAATTAATACTCGTATATGTATGTGTGAAAAACAAAAAGACAAAGGTTGCTAGGACATGAGTAAAGTGAAGGTGCTACATATACATACATACGGAGGGAAGCATATATAGGAAAAGAATTAAAGTGAGGCAATAATTATGTGTATAGGTAGGTCTCGTGGGTGGATGAGGCAAAGGCAAGGGAATCACCCACCCTCTTGATGTGTTTGGGGAATTGGCAGTGGCATGTGAAAATGTTAGGATCCGAGAGAGAGATTATATATCCAAGTTTGTCTGTTATCATAATGGAGGTAACAGTGGGGCACAAAATGGTCAACCTATGCAAGAGAAGAGATATAGAGGTCATAATTTCTTTCTAACACCCATATTCGTTTCCCTACTCATTCCGCCCTTTGATTAATAATAATCATAGCCACCCACCCACCCACCCTTTGCCCCCACAAAAAGTCACATTCATTCTCTTTCCTTCTTAACATCCTATGCTCCCATCACACTTTATAAACCACACCATCATCTAATCATCATCTAAACTCAACTCCTCTCCTCTCCTCTCTTCTCTTCTCTTCCCAACAACACAAACTCATGGGTATTCATCACGATGCTACTACGAACTCTGGTGACCATCACCTTATTCTAGGATTAGCTTTGACTAACACTCCATCACCACAATCCATTTCCAACAAGTTTGATCATGATCATGATCACACTCTTAGGCCAAAGCCTTATTCCTCCAAATCCAGTTTCATCAACTCCGAGGCTGAGCCATCATTAACCTTGGGTCTGTCCCGTGACAGTTACCGGCACCCCAAAAACATGGGACACAACAACAAAGTATCGTGTGAGGACCCTCTTGAACAGACTTCTCCTCACAGCGCTGTTTCCTCCTTCTCCAGTGGAAGGGTCAAGAGGGAGAGGGACCTTAGCTGTGAAGAAGTGGACGTGACTGAGACAGAGAGGGTTTCTTCAAGAGCCAGCGACGAAGAAGAAGACGGTACCACCGCTAGGAAGAAACTTAGGCTCACTAAAGAACAATCTGCTATGCTAGAAGAAAGCTTCAAACAACATAGTACCCTCAATCCTGTAATCATCACAATCTCTCTTCTTGTTTTCTTCGTACATGCATGATATATATGTATATAACTTTTACATAAAACTTGCATGTAATTTCTCTCAAGTTTTTTTTCTCTCTCTCCAATACTCATGGAACAATAATATCAGAAAACACCTAACTTTTCTTTACAATTTTTCTGATCGATTAATGGGTTTTCTTTGAATATTATGATCCACATAACAGAAACAGAAGCAAGCTTTGGCAAAGCAGTTAAGTCTAACTCCTCGACAAGTTGAGGTGTGGTTCCAGAACCGGAGAGCCAGGTGAATTAAATATATTTGATTTTTATTAAAACTCAGCATATATAATTTAAGGGGACGACATATATGATATATGAAAATGTTCATATTTGAATATGGTGACTAAGATATTTGGTTTTGGTTTGGATGTTGCAGAACAAAGCTGAAGCAAACAGAGGTGGACTGCGAGTTCTTAAAGAAGTGTTGTGAAACATTAACTGACGAGAACAGAAGGTTACAGAAGGAGCTTCAAGAGTTGAAGGCACTGAAACTGGCTCAGCCTTTGTACATGCCTATGCCTGCGGCAACCCTCACCATGTGCCCCTCTTGTGAGAGGCTCGGTGGTGGCGTTAACGGTGGCGCTTCCCCTAAGACACCGTTCTCCATGGCTCCTAAGCCTCACTTCTTCAACCCCTTCGCCAACCCTTCTGCAGCATGTTAATTCATTGTTATTATTAGGCTTTTAGTTTAAACAAAAAACAAAAAGAAGAAAAAAGAAGAAAAAAAAAGTTCCCCCACAACCTTTGTATTTGTTTTGGTTGAGGGATACGTTATGAACTACATCAGCTAGTGAAAAGGTTAAGGTTAAGGGTGTAATTAACTAATATACTGTAGAAATTTGTAACTGCTGATCAAGATTACTTTTTACTTTTCCTTTATTGTATGTTTATAAAAGACATCCATATATCTATGAAGGAATTAAAATAACTATTTTTTTTATTGTTCATTTTTGTAACTAGCTTCCGTGGTACATGCATGTGCGCACGCGTGTGTATATATATGAAAGCATTTGATTAGAAGTCCAAATCCGAATTATGTGTCTTTGACAAATGCAATGCCCCAAAGAAAAAGAAATAGTTGTGAAATGGTAAAAGCCTAAAAGGGTCGATTCTATAATTTTATAACAAAAATGAATTGGAACGCGGTTGAAGGTTGATTTAACTAGCCGCGTACGTCAATCTGCTACATAGAAAATGATATCTCTAATAAACATAAATTATTTATGAAATAGTAGATCATAAATTGTTTGCATTCGTATGTTGACTCTAATAATAATGTAGGGTACTAAAATGGAAGAAGAAAATTGAAGATGGATGAACCGAAAAGGGAAAAACAATTCATTGCAATCATGTAAATAGCCCCTACCTAATATTTATAATGGTTGTGGGGGAGGTATAGTCAAAACATATATATGATTAAGTTAGCGAAGGTTGAAGGTGCGGAGAGGGGAAGTTAGGTCACGTGTTTTTGTCTGGAAATGAGTTGCTTAAAGAGAAACTGAATGAGAGAGAGAGAGAGAGAGTAGTGTGATTAAGCATGTGTGGAAAGAAAGGAGATTGGAGGGAGAAATAATCGATTATTATGTGGCATGAGATGCTTTACCTTTAAGGGGACTGGTGGGTCACACCCCCACGTGATCACCCAATGGCCCCCTCTCTCTCTAAATCTCTTCATCAGATTTTCATTTTCCCTCTAGCTAGGTCACCCCCTCTCACACACCTTTTTCATTCTATCAAACTTAATTATCACTTTTAATTAAATTAATACGCAATTACAAATATTTTTTCTAATCATGCAAACTCTTTTTTATTTATTCTTCCTCACAAATCATATCAGCTTCCCAACTGCCCAAAATGAACGGTTGCGATCACGTGTCCACTGCTATATACGTTCTCACCACGCTATCATGATTGGAATTGGACGCTTCAACATTGAAAACAAGGCACGGGACAACACTATCCTAACATTAATTTATATTATTACATGATTGTTAACACACACACAAAAAAAAAAAAAAAAAAAAACTTCTAGAAGTATATATATTTTTCACAATTCTCCGAGTGTGTTTAGTTTGAAAGAGAGAAAAAATAAATGACGCATGAGTGTTTATAATGAAAATAAAAAAGAGAAAGATAAAAAAAATAAGTATAAAAATTGAGGAAAAACCAATAAGTTAAAATTCCATACATCATTGATAATGGGATGGACCAATAAATATAATGAGAGAGACTTTCCCGGAAAAGGAGACAAGTTCCTGGAAACTGCTAATGAGACTCCTCCTCATCACTTTCATACGCCATTTTTAACCATCGCCATCGTCATCACATCCCCAAACTCCACGACTATAACAATTTTATAAATTACGCTGATTACGCGAGGACCCAAAGAGTGTGAAAGCTATGTAAAAATATACATATTTTCAGTTGAGTCATTCCACTCCTACTTGTGTAGCTTGAATAACAAAAGTTAAGAATTGAACCAGTCCCAAGTCAATTCGTTCGCTTGATCATCAACCCCACCAAGAAAATTAAATTAAATTATCTAGTTCACTATGCTAAAATTTATAGCCAAATTTGATGGGAAAATAAGTAAGCATGTTCCATGACTCAATTTTTGCTGAACCACCTTGTCCTTGGACACTTGTGATCATAAATGCTAAACCTAGCGTGATAAACCCGCGACCCTCCCAAAAAAAAAAAAAAAAAAAAACTAGCATAACAAGTCCATGGATGCATCCATATTTAAAAAAGTTAAAAAGAGCAAAGAGGGATATCTGATCAGTGATATCTGGTTGGATCATGCGTGGAAAGAGAATGAAAACATGTTTGTGAAAAAGTCTTAGGAAGTTTAGTTGAAGATCACCTCTTGTGATGGGATGATTTATGTGTTTGGTATAATAATACGTGTGCGCACACGTAATAGTCCTTACTGAGTCCTAGATAAGCCAGAGACATATGTCTTTTGCTGGCTACTTTGTCGGCCTTTAAATGGTATTCATTTCGACCATAATACATGGTTTTATTATTTTGTCATCATTGGTGGAAAGCAATATGGGGTATGGTCTAATCATCTTAACTCACTTCCTTATATAATAAATTTTCTTTCAAAACACTCAACTCAATCATCGGATTAATTACGAGGCTTTAATAATATAGTATACTACTAGTACTTTGCAAATGCAAATTCACCCAATTCTTAAATACAAATTAAATAGCTATCCCAAACGTGGAGTAATTGTCACATTACCTAACTTACAAACATCATCCATTAATTATATCATGGATGTTTTCCAGAATTCAACTACCACAACTATTTCTTTAATTATGTTTAATTGATGGATGTAATTACAAACTCAATTACATGGGATATTTACATTATTTTCTCTTTTGTTTTACGCAATGCAAAGATAGTTTTTTTTTGGTAATGATGCAAAAAGAAAATAAAATAAGTTTGCTAGAATTTCCCAGTGTTAGGAAAAAAAATCCATTTAACGGATTAGGATGCTCGCATGTTCTAGTCATTATGATGTTTAATTATGTAAGAAAAAAGACATAAAAATTAAAACTGATGATGTAAGAGAAAAACATATCAATAACACACTATTTATATGAATTTTAAATACTAAATATTCACCGTTATATTGTGTGTTTTAACAGTTTTAATTAATTATATAGGTTAAATTATATTTTTATTATTTTATCTATTTTAATATTTAATTTGGTTTTATTATTTTTAAGTGATTTAATTTAGTCTTTTGATTTTTTTAAAATGTTCATTGCTATCCTTCTATTCAAATTGATATTAGCGACATTAATAAAATCTGGTGAAAAAGTAATATTGAACACTATTTGAAAATTAGGTAACCAAATTGAATTATTTAAAATATTTAATTTGACCCTTTTTTAAAAAAAAAAATGTTCAATCTAGTCCTCTAATTTTTTAAAAAAATATTCAATTTTATCCTTTCATCTAATTTCATTAACGTCGTTAGTGTCAATTTAGACCAAAAAAATCTAATTCTCTAATTTTCAAGAAAAATGTTCAATGTTGTCCTTTCACCTAATTTTATTAACGTTGCTAATATTAATTTAGACAAAAAAACAATATTGAACATCTCTTGAAAATTAAAGGACCAAATTAAACCTTTAAAAATAATGGGAACAAATTGAATCATAAAAATAAATAGAGGGACTAAAAATATAATTTAATAATTGATATACGATTAAATGTTATTATGTTATTGCTTTAGGAGAGTTAAGTTGATTAAGCTCTAGGAAGGGTATATAAGATTTTTTTTAAGATAAATATACCTCAAAAGTTCAAGTTTTAAGAATAACTAAAGAAAAGTTATCGAGAAGTTCTCTAGAATCCAAATCTTCTTCTCCCTTGTTCTAACTAAAAACCCTTCTTCACTCTTCCCCACAACTAAATCAAGATGACGAAGTTGGTGATTCGAAGCTTACAAAGCCAAGAATCTCTTGTCGAAGTCATACGGTGACTTGGATTTACCTTCTTTTTTTTAGTTGATTGATTATAAGAGGTAAGGGAAGCTTTTCAACTTGATTAATAGTGATGAATATTTAGTATTATTATTTTGAATTCGTGATTTGCATGACCAAATTGGTGAAGGTTGCAATTTTGAAGTGTTGTTATAAGTGCTCTTGAAATGTTGTTCTTGAGTAACTTGAGTGATTCTAATTTTTGATGCCTGCATGTGTTGTTTTGAGTTGGGTTGGTGTTATTTATGGTATGTATATGTTGTATGTTGGTTTGCATGATCTCTTGGCTAGTTGGATTGCAGATTGAGACATTTGGTGATTGTGTTATGTTTAGAAACAAGCATTGCATCAGGTGCACCTTCATTATGTTAGACGTGGCTTAAGTTAGGGGACTTTCTGTCCTAATCATGTCCAGCATGGGACTGGTAGCCCCGAACATGGATTAGTGATGAGTCTTCTGACTTAGTCATGCTAATCATGGAATGAGTGGCCTCGAACATGAAAACTTGAGAATTCTTTGACTTGGTGACGTTGAGTCTAGGGTGTGGAATGTATTCAAGTTAGTGAATCACTGCCTAAATGACGTTGGATGTAGGTTGAGTGGCGTTTGGTGAGCAAGAGACTTAGAGGTTCTCTACCTCATCCATGCTAAGCATAGGTGGATTGACATTGGACGTGGGTGAGACAAAAAGCCCCTTTGTCTCAACAGTACCGTGAACACAAAGAGTGACTTCATATGTGATATGTTGAAATGAAGTATGATGCTCTAAGGTATCTACTCGTGGAAGTATGATGAATTGTTTATATGAGTGATGATATGTGATAATGTTTAAAGTTGTCTATGATGAGTATTGACAAAGTTGAATAAGTTGTAACATGTATGTTGTGTTAAACTATATATGTTGATAGTCGATAAAGTTGTACAGTTGTATTGATGCTACAGTTGATTAAGTTATTAAGCTATTAGGAATCTGGTATAAATACATTTCTTTGCTAAGATATATAAAAACTATATAAGAGAGTAAAAGAATATTTTAGAAATTAAAATATCTCATTGTGTGTATATAAGTTGTGGTATTCCACGACTCTAGTTGAGAATCCTTTAGTAAGTAAGTTGGTTTATGAATGGGTAATTGTTTTAAGTTGTTTCTTCGAAGTTTTATTTAGAACCCTTGTGTGGGAAAGGTCAACACATACATGTATAAAGTGACCAATCGAGTGAGTACAAGGTCAGGGACTTAGTCCCTAATTGAGTACTAAAAGGGCATAGTATTTGGAGGGTAGTAGGTGGACTAATTCCATAAAGGGTTAGTGTTGCAAGCTAATATCGTAGTAGACTCATATCCAAACTGTTATATCTTGACAGAAATACTCAGTTTCCTAATTTAATTGGAAAAACCTGAGAAATCAAATCTATAACTCTATACTTAGCACTCTTTGAGGCCTA